AAGGAAGAGACTCTTTAAAATTCAAGAGAACCATCTGCTAGACTCATTTCTGTCACTTATTAGCTGTATGACCTTGGACAATTCATTTGACCTCTCTAGAACTAGTTTATCTCATCTAACTAGATGAGATTTCTAAGGCTGATGGTATATACCACTCTCCGCATCATAAGGTAGACCAAGAGCTGGAAAAGATCTTTGAGTCTTCTAGTTTGACATTCAGCCCTCCCAGCTCTAAGACAGGTCTCAGAATTTATGATTCCAAGATTGGCACTCTCTACACAATGCCATTGGCCTTCTTTATCCTGCTGTTCTCTGAGTTCAAAACTGGATGAATATGAGCTAAAAGAAAATGAGGAGAGCCTATGATGGATTCATAGATGTAGAGCTGAAGAGTTGTTAGAGATCACTGAGTCCAACACCCTCATTTTACAGGTGGGGAAACTGAGTTTTTTTTTAGATGAGGTTAATTGACTTGCCCAGGGTCACACTGGTAGTAAGTGTCTGAGGTGGGATTTGAATCTAGGTGTTCTTGTGTTTAGGTCTGGTGCTCGACCCACTATACCACACTGCCTCTCCATCAACTCTTTAGATTTCCCTGAAAGAAGACTAATTATGCTTTGTGAAGAAACCATTTGCTCTAAAGTATAAAAATGTTTTAATGTCTTATAATAAAATTCATGACATATTTATAAACGCTCTATCAAGGATTTACAACTGAGCCACCATCGATCGCTTGGAATGGAATAAATATGCAAGGAGACAGCTCGTATGAAATATACATCTCAACTTTATAATTGTGTGTGCTTTATTCTTTACACAAATGGAATGGATGTGTCAAATATTTACACTTAACAGGAGTGTAAGCTGTATAATGTCTCTGTAAAACCCCAGTTCGGACTCCAAGTACCCCCAACTACAGCTCAAGGTGGAGAAACATCCTGTCAGAGAGAATCACATCACCACAAGTGTTATAAACAAAGCATCAACTGGGATACAGCCTGGCATACTTGAAAATTCAGACACTCCAATGGAAACTTGGGAAACACAAAATTAAAAGGGAAAAGAAAAAAAGGCGATCATTCCCACTGGGAGTCAACAGTGCCATCTGCTTCTCTTTCTTGATGTTTTGCTAATGATCTACTGGGCTCCACCACTCAGGTAATCAATACCTAGATGTCAGACCATCCCAGGTTGTTCTCAGGTGCTCCTTCAGTGATGGGGCAGGCTACGATATGCTGTATGTTAACTAGTCCTGAAGAACAGGGTAGAGCGAAGAAAAATATTTACAGCCTTGTGCCCATGTGCCGGTATTGGTACGGATCCCTACACATGCCCAATATATATATATATATATATATATGTGTATATACAGTATATATAATGGTTATATACTATAGATATACATATATAAAAACATAACAGAATTTGCATTTAGTTCACTTTCAAAATGATTTTCCCTGGGGGATGGGGGAAGGGTGGGGAGGTTCTTTCACCAACTTCAAGAGAACTGCCCCCTCTTTTTTTTTTTAAGAAAAAAAAAAGAAGCAAGAGTGAACCTCTTAGTCTCTTGCTTAAATGTTCTCTGGGAATGTGACAGGACAATGGATGGAGTTTGATCAGCAAATTCATTTTGTCTCAACAATAGAGCTGAGTGAATTCAATCAGGAGCCAGCTGGAGTCCATGGCTAAGAGGCCAAAGAGGATACTTCACATGGAAAGAGGAAATGGAAAGTTTTGGAATGGAGAGAAGAAAAAGAAAAGAAAGAAAACCTCTCCCCTAAACGAAAACAACATCAGTTCCATAAGTGGCCTGGGCAAATATTTGGCTCCTTATGGCATTTTTTCTTTCTGGTCAGTATTTTTGCTCCTTGCTTATCCATAGGTGGCTTCTTCCAGAATGCCAATGAGACTCCAAGGTTCAGACTGGTTTTATTTTTAGAAGGTATTCTTGCAGTGACAGTGCAAGGTCAACCAGTTCTCAGTAGGAGAATAGGAATCCCAGGAGGGATTACCTGTCATCCATCAGGTCACTGGGCTGTTGGCTAGGAATTGCTGCTCGCCTGTAACTCACATCCAGCTTTGATCTACCAGAAAAGCAGGAACAACTCCATGCAAGGTGCATTTCCTGATGTCACCACATGTGAAGCAGAGAGAGTAGAAAAACTGAGAGTGAGGGACAGAGGGAGAGGGACAGAAGTAGAGGAAAATGGACAGAGGGAGGAAAGAGATGAGGAGGAAGAAGAGGAAGGAAAGAAAAAAGGGAGAGAGTGAGAGAGACAGGATGGGGGTCATGGATGGATAAATAAAAGATATGGAAAAATAGAAGTAGGGAAGGGAGACGAGAGGGAAGGAAGAAAGCTAAAGGAGAGAGGAAAAGGAATGAGTGGAGGTAAAGAGAGAGGGAAGAGTTAGAATGGGAAAAGGAGAGGAGAGCAAAAGAAGATGTAAGGAGATAGAAAAGGAGGGGGAACAAGAAAGAAAAGAGAGAGGGAGAAAGCTGAGAGAAATAAAAAAAAGAGGGAGGAGAGAGGGAGGGAAAATAGTGAGGGAAGGAGGGAAAAAAGGGATGTTGGATAGGGAAAGGAGAGTGGCATACCCTAGCATGGATTTTGTCCTGGAGGATTAGCTATAGATACACTGAGACAGCTGGAACTCGAAGGCAGAGAGTAGGGTTTTTTCTTGGTGGCCTCCCTGAGCACCAGTGGCAAACAGGAGGGTATAGGCTCAGCAGAGAAATTAATGGAGGGCTGGGAGAGAAGATACCATTGCCCATCTGCACATGGAGAGTAGAAATGAACATTTACGTGAATTGTTGCAAATGGGCGATGAGATTTAATTTTTGGTTGAGTGAAGACCCCTGTGGTGCTACACATTGTGCCAGAGCATGCGAAATAGCACCAGTGACACGGTCTGGCACATTCCCGAAAGGGTCCAGTGTTTGCATGTTGTGTGGTGTGGGTGTTGTGCTGTGCCCAACAGTGAGCCTCCTGAATGGCGGGAGGGAGAGAGGGAGAGAAGAGAGAGGGAGAGAGACAGAGAGAGAGAGAGGGCGCCAGTTCACTGTTTGTTTGCAGGGTTAGCACCAGTCTGGTCCGAGGCTCCGAGTGCATTGGCACTAGGTGTAACTGGAATCATTTTCCTGCCTTCTCTGCAGAAGTTACAGTTGCTGCAAGATCTCGGAATTTCAAGGAGCACTAAAGACTGTGTGAGCATGGGAAGCACAAAACATCAAGACAGCAAAGCCAATGGAAGAGGAAACCCTAAGAAAAAAAGACTCTCACCAATCCTTTTGGTGATCCTCCAAGCTGATATATAATATTTAAAAATTTATATTAAAAAAAAACAGTGCAAATGCCAACTCTAATCTGGAATCATCTAGACAAGGAAAATAAATAATATAATATGTACTATAGAACAGAAGATTGGTGGGGGGAAAACTTGATTGTATTCAGCCACGACACCACTATCAATTGGAAAGCACAGCACATGACCTCAGAAAACATGTACTCAGTTAAGGAGAGTCCTGAAAAAGGTGGCATGCTCAAAGGGAAAGAAACAAAACACTGTCAGAGTGGTTTGGGAAGGAAGGAAAGCTGGGAGAGCAGGAGAAAGTTCTGGTGTCAGAACGCTGCTTGGGAAGTGGGAGGGCCGAAGCAATTTCAGTGAAGTGGGCCTGAACCTGAGACAATAGCAGTTAATGGACGTGGAAATCTCTTTAGGATCTGAGGAGCTCTGCAGAGGTCTCTGGAAGTTTCGATTGTAATGGGAAGGGGAGGGTGAATCTGGGAATGCGTGTCTAGCTCTTCTGTTGACCCAAGACTCTAATTGAATGCACAGATAGATGGATTTGTTTTATTTTTTATTTATCTTTTTTTTTTTTTTTTTTTGGAAAGGGGTAGGGTAGGGTGGTTTGCAGCCAGACAGACGGATGGTACTCAGAGCAAGATGGATGACTCGATTTCTCTAAAAGGGACCTGACTTCTGATCTCTCTGTTTCTACTGAAAAGAAATACCATCATTGCTGACGGTTGTCGGTTGCCCTTGTCTCTCCTCGCCCCTGCTGATGCACCTGGTTACTGCACAGTGTGGCAGGACATACCTGCCAGGTCTGGAGATGCCACCAAGATAAGGCTGTGGGGCTTGGCCTCTGCACAGAGAGAACCCATAGGCAGTTCCACTCAAAGTTACTCAAGACTTTTCTCCCTAAGCAACTGAGTGAAAAAGCTCTGACGCAGCTGGGACAACTAGGAAGTGCTGAATTTCGTCTCTTGGTTCAATTTATTGTTGAAATTTGGGAGGTTATCTATCTTCTTTCTCTTTCACTTGGTCCAGATACAGTCCCACGCAAGGCTGTGAGGGCAGTTTACCTCAGAACCTTGGCACACCCTTCCTCACAGCACAGCCTTTGTCATAGGGTGGGATTGTCAGGCCTATAATCAGTCAATAATCAACAAGCATTTATTAAGTGCTTACTATGTGCCGGGCACTGTGCCAAGCACCGCACTGTAGCTCCCAAATCAGGCCCTTCCCTTCTCATCCTCTGAGCCATTCAGCAGATCTGTGATAAAATTCCCCAGAGGTATATATTGTCCCCAGCTGTCTATCCCCAAACCCTTGCTGAATGAAGTGGAAAGAAGTTACTGGTCAGCTAGAGTTTATGCCAAAACATCTGCTCAGCCTTTGAGTGTTCTAGGAAGAAGAGAGCTGTCCAGGGCTCCTTAACAAGAGAAACGCCTGCACTATTCTTTAAGTCACTGATGTTAATTTACCCTCCGAAGAACCCCCAGCTTAAAGATGCATCATCTCAGTCAAGTCTCAAAAAGAGCCTATAGGCCAACTCATTAAGCAATGGTGTTCCAAAGGAATTTATTCTCAAGAGCCAATGGGAAATCAAAGGATTTAGTGCTGGAAAAAAGACCTCAGAAATCAGAGAGACCAATTCCTCCTTTTACAGATGAGGAAACTGAGAACTAGGGATAGGAAGTGCCTTGCCCAGTGTTACACAGGTAATTAATAAGCAACAGAGCTGGGATTTGAATTCAGGTGTCTGTCTTGATTCCAAATTCAGGGCTTCTTCCATAACATCACATCTGTCTGTCATGGGAGGAAACTTGGGGGGGGTGTCTGACTTCTTTTAAAGAAATTAAGTTGTTGCTGAAAAATCATCAACAACCAAAAGGATAGTGCAACTTTTAAGTTCTCTAAATCTGACAGTCTGCTGAGGGCGTAATATACTTTGCCTTTCCATTAGTTAAGTCTTTACAAAATATCTCACAAAAACATTTTTTCACCTATATAAATTAGTTTCTATACATTTAATATAATTTTATTTTATAAATTATTCCATCTTTAAGTGCCTTCTTTCAGTATATAAATGGTAAAATAGACAATCAAAAATCATAAAGCTATTCCCAGATGGAACCCCCCCCCCCATCATCAATAAGGTAAATGCTCCAGACACTCGACAATTTCATGGAATGCTTTCCTTTGCAGGTACCACTCAAAACAACTACATGGTCACCACTTTCCGATGCAATGGTGTCTTTGAAGGGAACCATTTCCTTTCTTTCTGATTTTTTTTTTAATCGTCTCTTTTTGCTAAGAAATCAAAGGATGTGCATAGTTACAAAATTCCATGTGTACCAATCACAGATGTGTAATGACAAGCTTGGTGAGGTTCAAGAGCTGGGAACTTTTCTTTAAAGCAATCAACACACAGAACTCAGCCATTACAACAGGTTGGGGTGCCCATTGAGTCGAGGAGACGGCTCGAACCTCTGGACAGAGAGCCCCATCAGAAATCCATACCTACACCTGGCACTTTGAGCACATGACGTCTTTCCCACATACTGCAAAAGTCCTTGTGTTTCTACCTTTTGGCCCCTCAGTTTCCTTCATGGCTTCACACACGTTGTGTTGTACATTCATAAAAATTCACATTGACTGCAAGAACATAAATGCAACAAAAACATAAAAGCCTCCACGTAGTATATTATATATTTTTTTTCTTCTAAATACTCTTCTGTCATCATCAGAGGTGCAGCAGCTAATTTATAACTTCTCCTTGGAAGGGATCCAGATGAAAGGGCCGGATTGTTCTTCGATAACAAGTTTGCATTGGTTATATATATCTTCTAAAGTTTCGCCTTGAACAATAGCTGCAATGAAAAAACATGTATGGTCATTCTCAGAGGTTCTGGATAAAGTAAAAAGTGTTGCCTTCTGAGATCATGCCAGCTCAAAGTATTCTCTCCCTCCCTCTCTCCTCAAATTTTCCTGGCTCCCAGGTTTTGTTCTTACGATCTATGCTCTATCAGAATTTTGTATATGTGTTGTATCCCTTACAGAGGCAACTAGGTGGCATAATGGAAAGGGTGCTGGAACTGGGATCAGGAAAGAGCTGTGTTCGAATTCAGCCTTAGATACTAGCTGTGTGACGCTGAGCCTTTAACCTCTGTCTGCCTCAGTCTCCCCAACTGATAATAATAGCCCCTAGTTCCTAGGGTTGTTGTAAGGATTAAATAATATTTGGAAAGTGCTTAGCATAGTGCCTGGCACATAGAAGGTGTGTAATATATCCTTCCCTTCCTTCCTTTCTTCCTCTCTCACTCCCTATTAGATTGTAAATTCAAGGTCAAAGATAATTGAATTGTATTGCATTCATTTAACCAGTTTCCAAATCAATATCCAATCAATTAAAGTTTGTTAACTATTATTGTTGTTCAGTCGTGACCAACTCTTCATGACATCATTTGGTGTCTTCTTGGTAAAAATATTGGAGTGGTTTGCCATTTCCTGCTCCAGTTCATTTGACAGATGAGGAAACTGAGGCAAATGGGGTTAAGTGATTTACCCAGGGTCACACAGCTAGTAAGTGTCTGAGGCTTGATGTGAACTCAAGAAGATGAGTCTTCCTGACTCCAGGGGCAGCTCTCTATCCACTGCACCACCTAACTGCCCTGTTGTTAACCATACTCTTGTTTTAGGAGAAATAGGAAAAGTAGATTAAATAAACTCACATCAGGGAATTTTTTTTAAAAGAAGCTTCATAGGATGGGCATAAATGCCTGTTAATTGAGAATGTGCTATCCCTTCAGTAGAGTATAAACTGTTAAGGATGGCATATTTTTGATGTTTGCTTTAGTATCCCCAGATCCTACTACAATGCCTTGCCCATATCAGGCGATTAATAAAGAACTCGAGTTGAATTAATTTAGCCCAGTTTTTATACCTTCCATTGAGCCATAGTCACAGTACAACATTAAAAAAAACCTTTAAGGTTTTCTACATACCTGAGGCAGTAGTAAGGAAAGCATTTTATAAACCTTAATGCCCAGTGCTTAGCACAATGCCATCCACATAGTAGGTACTTCATAGATGTTTATTAACTGACTATAGAAATGTGACCTATGGGTTCCTATTGCTACATAGAATAAAGTTTTATATAATCTATATAAGTTATATAATCTCACAATCTATATAATAAAGATTTTAATTCAGAAGCAGTTAGGTGGTACAGTGGATAGAGTAGTGGAGTCCATTCAAATATAGCCTCAGCCACTTATGAGGTGTGTGATGCCAGGCAAGTCATTTAAGCTGTTTGCCTCAGTTTCCTCATCTATGAAATGGGGATAATAATAAGACCTTCCTCTCAGGGTTGTTGTGAGGATCAAATGAGATAATATTTGTAAAGAGTGTGGCACAGGGCCAGGCACATAGGTGCTTAATACATACTTATTGCCATCTTCTTCCTTATGTAATCTATATAAACTATGTAATTTATAATGCATGTAGATTATATGATTTTAGATAATCTACTCTAGCTTCTTCATTTCTCAAGACAAAGAAACTAAGGCCCAGAAGGTCAGGTCACTTCCCCGTCAGTAAATACACATACACACATGTATGTATGTATACACACATCAGATAGGTCTTTAAAGAAGTCAGCATTATGAGATTATGGTGGCTTCACCCATCCCTCATGTCTACTTTATCTCTTTGTCATTTGAGTCCCTGACTGCATTTCACTCATGCAAAAAGCGGATCCCTGTTTCTCTTCCTGTTCTCCCCTAGTTTAGAATCTCAAGCCAGAAATTCTCACCATCTGAGCTAGAGGCCAGAGGCTCGGCCTTTAATTATGCCCTATTTTAATAAAACTTGGTTTTCAAATTGCATCTGATAATGTCCTATAATTTACTATTGCCATGGTTTCCAAGAGATTTCCTTTAAGAAAAAAATTATGTCTTTGTTGTTATATGATATGACACAGAAAAGCACTGGGGACAATTTTAATACCAGGTGCTGCGGGAGATAAAAATTTTTTTTTTAATTCCCTCTTTAAGTGAGAGATAACACAATTCTAAGTGAAGATTTCACATCAAGTCCTTGAGGATTTTTCTTAAAACACAATTTTACACTAATTTGGTCTTTTTCTTGGTAATATCTCAAGGTGGGAATGGGACTATGAAAAAAAAATAGGCCCTTTAGGCCCACCTGCTTTCAAATTTGTTTTCTGGGAAATATAGAGAAATGAAAAATAACAAAATCCATACCCACTAGACAATGAGAAATGACTTTTCTTCCTATGGAGAGATTCTATGTTTTAGGGGTAAGTGATCAGAAGAACACTTTCTACTGAGATAAACCAATATAAATTGCCAAGATCTATTACATATGAGTAGATGGTTTGGTCAACTTCGTGAGCTCCGTATTGTCATGGTTACGTCCACTTGATAATGAGTGAATTATTGACAGACATGGTGGAAAGAATACCAGCTCTGGAATCAGAGGACCAGAACTCAAGACCTGCCTCTTCTTGCCTATGATCTATGGGACTCAGGGAAAAGTCGCTTGACCTCTCCAGACCTCAGTTTCCTCATCTGTAAAATAGGGGGGTTAGAGGAGATGGTCTCTGGTATCCCTTCCATTTCTAGATCCATGATGTGATAATCTTACGATCTGCAACTTAAAAATAATGACAATTGCTTTGAGTTTTTTTGTTTGATGGTAACCAAGGAACCAAGATGCTGCTTTTTGAAATAAGAAAGCCTTTTTGGGCTCCTATAGGAACGTAGGATCACAAATCTCGAGCTGGCATGGACTTGAGAGGTCACCTAGTTCAGAGACCTCATTGTACAGATGAGGCAGTGAGGCCCAAGGGAGGTGGGCAGCTAGGCGGATAGAGCTTTGGGTCTGAAGTCAGGAACTGTTGTTGTGCAGTTGTATCTAACTCTTCCTGACCCAGTTCGGGGTTTTCTTGGAAAAGCTACTGGAGTGGTTTGCTCTTTTCTTCTCCAGCTCATTTTACGATTTAGGTAACGGAGGCAAACAGGGTTAAGTGACTTGCCCAGGGTCACAAAGCTAGCAAGTGTCTGAGGCCAGATTTGAATTTTGGTCTTCCTGACTCCAGGCCTGATGCTCTACTCCCTTCACTATTAGGTACAGTGGAGTCAGAAAGATGGGAGTTCAAATTCGGCCTCAGACATGTACTAGCTGTGTGACCTTGGCAAAATAACTTCTACTTGCCTCAGTTTCTTTATCTGTAAAATAGAGATAATAATAGCGCCTATCACAGGGTTGTTGTGAGGATCAAATGAGATAAATATTTACCACAGTGCGTGGCATATAGTAGGCACTAAAGAATGCTATTTTTTTTATTATTTTTATTTCAGTGATATGACCACAAAGTCTCCCAGATAGCACTTGTGACAATAGTGAGATGGGAACCCTAGGTCTTCTGCCTCTGAATCTAATGTTCTTACCCACTGTAACATGTCCTTTTATGGTGAAAAATAACTTGCCTGTTAGCAATTAATTCACTTTTCCCTTCACGTAACCTGCTGAATACATGTACAAATTGCCAAGTGATTGACATTTCCTAAACTCTGAATAAAGTAGACGTGAAAAATTCAGATAGGCCATGTGCCTTGTCAGGTAATAAGAGATGTCTAGGTAAGTAATTTCTAAATTACAATGGATTGTTCATTAGGCAGGCACATATTGTTTGCTTAACCCTCCCATCGATCATGTTACTAAGGAAACCTGCCATGTGAAGAGCTGCACATCAGAATCACCCAATTTCAGAGTGGGAGGGGAATTTGGTTCCCCAGGCCATTCCATTATCAGCAAAAGAAACCTGTCTATGGCTACCCAACAAAGGGCCAGTCATTTTCTGCATGAAGACCTTCAATGGGGGTGGGGGGGAACTCCCTCCTTTCCCAAGCAGCTCATTCTTCTTTTGGACAGCCTTAATGGTTGGGAATTCCGCCCCCCCCCCCAAAAAAAAATCAAGCCTAAATTGCTCTTCTGCAATTTGTTGAATCAAGTTGAATTCTTTTCCTCCAAATGTAAAGATTTTTTCTTTTTTATATTTTGTTTTCTCGACCTCAAGACAGAGACATGATGGACAGGGGAACACGGGGGAATGAATACTCAACAGATTTTAAAATGCTATTTATTCAGGCTTGTCTTCCTGCCATCCAAGATTCTTATTCAAAGGCCACTGAAGGCAGAATATGCCTTTGAATTTTTTTTTTCCTGGGGATGGGTTCTAGTCTAGTTATCTACTATGAGTAGTTAAATGTCTACCTGTCGTTCCTAACACAAAATACTCTGGACAGGTGGTAACGCTTTATCTTCAAAGCTCTCCCCTCTTCAGTATCCTTTCAGTTCTTCTCATTTCTGGGAGAAAGGAATAATTTGATGCTTTAACTTACTAATTTTCCTGAACAAAGAGGGTGTTTCCCAGGATCTGGGCCATCTGCAAGCAGTATTAGGGATAGCAATCAAGGATAGAGTGGGATATGGTGCCAGGCAGCTGAGAGTGCTTGAAATCATGTTAGGATGGGCAATCAGCATTTGAAGTTGGAAAGTCAAAGATTCATAGATCACAGATTGTTAGACCTAAAATGGACCTTGAGGATCATCTAATCCAACATCCCCATTTTGTTTATAAGAGAACTGAGATCCAGAGAAGTTAAGGGATTTGTCCAAGGTAACATAGGCAGTGAGTCATAGAGTTGGGACAGGAATGTGGGTCTTCTGATTCTAAAGCCATTGTACTATCAACCACACCAGGATCCTTCAATTTTTGAGAGTTTCTTGTGTATCTATAGTGGTGCCTCCCCTTCCCAATAAGAAGAGAAATAGCATGAATGTGGGAATGGAGTAGAAAGAGGAGGAAGCCATGATCTTCTCCTGTCTCACTATCCTATGTCTGCCCTCTGGTCAAGAGGGCAATAAAGTTAATGAAGGAGAGCCCTCTTTGGGGGTCCTATAGATTCTATGGGTTATTAGTAATAGTCAACATTTATAAAGTACTTTAAGGTTTGTAAGATGGTCATCTAGTTCAGATCCCTCATTATACAGATGAGGCACTAAGGCCCAAGGAGGGGGGTAGCTAGGTGGTGCAATAGATAAAGTGCCAGGCCTAGAGTCAAGAAGATTCATCTTCCTGGGTTCAAATCCAGCCTCAGACACTTACTAGCTGTGTGACTCTGGGCAAGTCACTTAACCCTGTTTGCCTCAGTTTCCTCATCTATAAAATGAGCTGTAGAAGGGAATGGCAAACCACTCTAGTATCTTTGCCAAGAAAACCCCAAAAAGGGTCATGAAGTGTCAGACATGACTAAAAAAACGATTAAACAATAAAGGTTTGTAAAATTCTTTACATAATAATAATTGATATTTCCTTAGCACTTGAAAGTTTACAAATTGATATGCATTAATTTCTTTGATCTTCATGACAACCCTGTGAGAAAGGCAATACAGACATTACTATCCCCTGTTACTGATAAAATTTAAGTGACTCCTCCACATGCACACTGATAGTAGAAGCCAGAGGCTCAGTTCAAACTTCCTCCAATATACATATTGTTTCATTTTTGTCTTTGCATCCCCAGTGCCTGGTACTTAATAGTATAGTAGACAGTTAATAAATGCTTGTGGAAGTATTGTTGAGATATGTTATCTCATTTGATCCTCATAGCAACTCTGGGAGGTAGTTATTGGGAACCTGGATTCTCATTACCATGCGAACCCCAAGAGACACTAGAACATTTGCTTGGAATGAATTAATTTATATGGCATCTTCACTAGGTGAGAGATTTAAGAAAATAACCATTCCCTATTTCTGGGATTATTTGGGAGTAGATTTCCCATTAGAGATGGGAAGACTGGGCAGCCTTTATGAAGCATCCAAGTACTCCTAGTGAATGGAATGGGTGGGGCAGATTTAAAGGAAAGAGAAAAAAGATATTTCTACTTAGATTCTCTTGAGTTTTTTGGAATTTTTAAAAATTATTTGAAACTTGAATTCTATTCAATGTATTTCAACAAACATTGCTTAAGGCCAAAGCTGAGCAGTGTGGATTCTAGATCAGTGAGGCATTGAATGAAAACTACTGCAGGGTGTCCAATACCCTCATGTCTGTCTAAAGGTCTCAAGGACCAGTTTTATGCCCCAGATGTGTCTCTGCTTACCCACTCACTATCTCATAGGTCAGGGCATTTGTCTGCCTTCTGACAGCACATGGTGTAGTAGCTGATACATGCCTACCTGTAAAATACTCTCCAAATTCTTGCTCTAACTTGATAGCTCGGTCATAGGTTTTCTTGGCTTGTTCCTCCGTGAGACGCTTATTCATCTCCCTAGGAAAATGAAGGATGAAATGCAAGTTAAAATATACCATGAATGAATTATTAACCCCTGAAACTGCTTCCCTTCCCCCATGCTGCCTCCCCAACATACATACCTCAAAATAAAATGTAAAAATAAGTCATGGGAATTTTCCTGTTCCTAATTTAGGAATGGAATATCTAGAAATATTGTGATTCAGTCTTAACCTGGTAGTTTTAGTAATGGGAGTTCAGTGCTTCATGAAGCAACCATTATTGAGCAGCTATTATAATAATAATTATTATTATAAAATTATATTGAGCTAGAATTTGTTTCCATGTACTGCGGTCTACCCATTTCTCCTCCCTCTGACCTCTGTGGCCAAGCAGAACAAGGTTAATCCCTCTTCTATGTATCAGACCTTCAGATGTTTGAGGGCTGCTATCATGTCTTCACCTTCCTTCTCTCACTGTAACAACCATGTTTTCTTTTGACCATGCCAAGCATTCCCCTCTCCTATATTCATCGAATAATATGGCTTTTTGTCTTTTTACCACTTGGTTACCCTCCTTTAAGATGTTCATGTTTGTCAACGTTCCTTTTAAAATGTGGCTCCCAGGACACACCCCAAGGCTCCAAACATCAGTGAGAGGGAAAAAGGAGAAAGGAAGGAGATAATTGACATTTCTGTCAATTTTCCATTGGATGGATGTTTGTACTTAACAGAACTGAATCTTACTAATGTGGAATTTATGGGATCATAGATTTAGAGTTGGAGGTGGCTTTAGAAGTCATTTTGCACACAGGTTAGAAAATTTAGACCTAGAGAGGAGATGAAGAAGTAAGGCACCAAAGGCAGAGAAAGGAGGTAGAAGGGTCTAGGCAAGTCAAACCATGAGCACCACCTTGACCTTCATTTTCCCTCAGACCTTGATGAAGGTAGCCCAAGACTCTGAACCCAACAGCCTTGGGAATGACAATGTCCCCCTAAACTACTTCTAGGCCATCTCCTATAGCCAGCACTGAAGGGAGAAGTCATGGTGGAGATAGGACTTCACTTTCCTCATCACCACCGGCAACATTTGCTGACCAACTGCCATAAACCTGAAGATCCCTAGGAGTGGCAGCCTTCACCCCTTGCCACACCACTGGTCTTGCTCTTAGAGCCATCAGCTGGAGAAGCAACTCCTGTGAAGAAGAAACCAACCTTCTTCACCACATGTCAACCTATGGCCATACACATAGCAGACAAGCCAACCTAGGCACCCTGAGGGAGATACAGGAGGTTGAACAAGCCAGGCAAGTCAAACAACCACTTGTATCTTGACCACCATCTCCCCTTCACTCCAATGGAGACAGCCTAGAATCCCAAACCCAAAAAACTGCGACAGCAATGCAGCCATTCTCCTGGGACAGCAACCTTTGTGGAGATAGAGCCTGGCCACTGCTCCTGCGGGTACTTCAGCCACAGCTCCTGAAGACCCATAAAATAAAGTTGTCATCCCCCAAGTCCTTTGCGCTGTCACATAGTTTAACATTATAAACTAGTATGATTTTAGCAGTGGAAATGACATTCAAGAAGAGGCATTAACATCTGTTTTGCCACTGTGCCCTAAGGACCCTGGGACCTTTGCATATGACTTGAAGCTGAAATCTTCCATGAGCATTGTCTCCCCCATTAGAATGTGACACTCCTAGAAAAGAGGGATTGTCTTACTTTTTTATCTGTATTACCAGAATTTAGTGCAGTACATGTTTCTCCCTATTCTAGTCTATCTTCCATTCGGCTATCAAAGTGATCTTCCTAAAGCACAGGTCTAACCATGCTACCCTACTCGAGGATCAAATATAAAATCCTCTCCTTGTCATTCAAAGCACTTCATATTCTGGGGTCCTCCCTCACCTTTCCAGTCTTCTGACACCTGATTCCTTTCAACATACTCTACAATCGAGTGACTCTGGCGTCCTTCCTGTTCCCAACTGACATAATGTGTAGAAAATGCTATCCAAACTTCCTAGCACTATATGAATGTCACTCAATCAGAGTTATAATAGTGGTGAGGAAATCTCACTTGTCTAGTCAATCACCCTGTGACCAATGGGTGTACTGGTTATCTGAAGTGCTGATAAAAACTTTTTTTGATGACGATGAAGATAGAAAAATTTTTTTTTGAAAGAATCATAGATTATTAGAGCTACATGGGATGATCTAACTTCCCTCCCCTCCCATACACCCATTTTACTGGTGAGAAAACTGAGGAGCAAAGGAGTCAAGTCAGTGGCAGATTGAAAACTAGGATGGGAGTCTCTTATTTTGCCTGTAGTGCTCTTTACCCAAAATCAGAGGTTCCTAATGTTTTTTATTCAGCAAATCTTTTTCAACAAGAACCAAAAAAAGTGCTGTGAACTCGCAGGGTAATATAATACACTACTTAGAAACATCAGAGTTTGATGTAATCACTGCATGAACACCAAAATCATTGACTGGGACAGTTTTAATTCACTTTAGAAATAAACTTATAATGCTTCAAACATATACATGCTTAACTGGCATGGAGGAAGAAGATACATATATTAGTAACATAATTGGGCAATTACCACTTAAGACACCATTAAAGAATTTTTAGCCTGAAAACTTTGGACAAAGGAGTTCATGAAACACCAAATGGGGATCACTGCTCTAGACAACACCAGAAATACCTTTCCTGTAACATAAATAGACTCCAGGTAAATGCTCGTTACTAGATGATTGATCCATCTATCTTAATTCAACTGAACGGGACTCATTCATTCATTCATTGGTAAACATCTACTTAATGCCTAGAATGAAGCTTCTTCTAGGCTACATGGGCACACAGAGGTGAATAACTCAAGGGTCTTGTCCTTAAGACACTATAATTGGTCTATGTAGGCATTTTCCTGCTCACCTGAGCATGGTGGAAACAGAATAGAGAACTGAGAGATGGCAACAGTTTATATTAGATGGATATTATCACAGCATCTGCTCACCTCCATCACCCTATGTTCCAGCCAAACTGGTTCACTTGCTCCCCTTCCTCATCGAGAACATCTCAACTCTCACCTTGGTGCCTGCGTATGCCTATGTGTCTTTCATGTGCCTAACATGTTCTCTTAGCACCTCTTGGAACCTGTGGTTTCCTTTAAGATTCTGCTCAAATACCACCTCCCTATACAAAGCCTTTAATGCCCTTCCTCCATCCTGGAAATTACTTTGCGTCTACTTTCTCAAGGTCATATGACCTGGCAAAACTAGGAAGAGAACGGAGATATTTTGACTGTAAGTCCAGTGCTTTTGCTAAGAAAATCATATTATTAATAATAATAAGTAGTATTTATATCATGCTTTCAGGTTTGCAAAGTACTTTACATGATATCTCATTTGATCCTCACAATAATCCTGATTTAGGTGATATTATTATCCACATTTTATAGGAGAGGAAACTGAGACAGAGAGAGGTTATAAATGACTTGTCTAGAGTCACCCAGCTAGTAAGGCAGGATTTGAACTCAGGAGCAAACAAGAGAGACGAATTTTCACCTGGATGTGGAGAGATTCTTTGAGGGAAGATGAAGACATGCTAATCCCCTAGCCCAGAACCGGGGGTGGGGAAGAAATACACAAACAGAAGAGATATCTTGTAAAGAAGGCTTGGCCTTGTGGCTTTATGCTATAAAAACAAATGCCCCTTTGATCACAAAGCAGAATCTGATGTGCTTTTAGCCAGTCAGGCAGGCATTCACTGAGGGCTTGTAAAAGGGACATGAGGATGCATGCTGGAAATGAGATAATATATAAAGAACCACAATCCTGAGAAGTGACAGCAGCCGTGCATTTGCTTCAGTTGACCTAGCAACTGCTTTTCCAGAAGGGGAAAGGAAGGGGCCCCAACCATGCTCGTAAGTCAATCCCAAAGGGTAGATATACTCTAGGGACTAAATGCTCCCAAGAAGCTTGCCTTAGTCTAAGGGTCACTTTCTCTGTGGATCCCAGGGACTTAGCTATACCAAATGAGCCTCCATTTATTCCCCTCTTCCCTCACCTCCATCCTCTCTAAAAGCAAAGCAGTCAATGTGCCTAATTTTGCTAAGCCTGAAACTCCATGACGTGGAACAGCCATTGAAGGGACAGTACCTGGAGGAAAACGTATTTTGAATGTGAATCTAGTTAAAAAAGAAATCACCTCCATAGACTTAGATAGAAGAGGGATCTTTAAATCCAGCCCTCCTCACCCCTTTTTTTTTTTAAGCATAAGGATATTGAGGCCAGGGAAGTGAAGCAATTGGCCCAAGGAGACCCAGGTAGCAAGGAATAAAGGTAGATTATGAACTCATGAACTCTTAGGGAAAGCTGCTCAGGGATATCAGCCCACTGGTCCCACTCTGTTCTGCCCTCCCACAGAGATGTGTCCTTCCGCTCTATGAATTTCTTCTATAATACACTACTTTGCAACCACAATCAATTGGAACATCCCTAAGGTTCTTCCTACTGCCCATAAGTAGCACCACAGTGGAAGAGATGGGTGTCCCCCTTAGGTGTACTGGCAATAACTGCTACTTTCCTGCCCCCCCATAAGTCAACTGTGTTTTCTGAACTCAAACAATATTGTAGATCAATATAGACTAAATCCTTTAATATGAAATATTGACCGGTAGTTTTCTGGTTTAAGGGGGACAGAGATTGGGAACTGTGGAGAAGGAAAGAGCCAGAAGTAAAAAGATAAAGCATTAAGGGAGAAAAATGATGAGAGTTTTTTTTTAAGTTTGAGAACTAAGGACCTTCGGAAGCAAAATTTGAAAATTTGTGCTGATTGATATTTGGGCAACACCAAGTTTGAGCTATAGGTATAGCTCCTAGTTGTTGTATTTTTTGAGAGAAAGCATTATTGATGACATTGACCTATGCTTAGAGTTGTAATTAAGGAAAGGTAGAATCTTATTACAGAGCAAACCTAAATGCCAAGGGAAAGAATCTAAAATGTCATGTGTTCCATATACCCAAGCTCATTTATTTCCATTTCTCTTGGAACTGCGGCTTCAAATGAGAGGCAATTCAATTACTATTGCTTTCTAGCAATTAACTTCACTTCTTCCCCACTCCCTCAACTCCTGGGAAAGTGGAAAAAAAAACTTAGGAAACAGGAGTGCACACATTTTCAAGGAATTATTGGTCTTCTTCCCCAGGGTGAGTCAAATAAACTTTAATTTTATAGGGATGTGGCAGGGAGGAAAAGGAATGCATAAGTATCTGGCAGTAGTATCAAGAGCTTCAAAACAGAGATAAAAAAGGTTTTATTGTGGAACCCGAGGGGATAGGGAAGGAATGGGGATGACCTTCAGTATACTCACATCAATGGCTCCAATGACTTCGGCTTAATGAAGATGGCGATGGGATAGAGTTGTGCAACTTGTAACCGCTTGATAGCATTTCCTGATACATCAAGTATGCAGTGTTTGCCCTGGTGGAAAGAGATGTGGAGAGAGTCTTAGTCAAAGAATCAGAGTTTCGAAGGGACCTAGCTCAACCAATTCAATCTCCCACCCAGTGCTGGAATCCTTACCTGTAGCATGCCTGACAAGAAGGATTTACTTAGCTTTGCCCAAACAAAATGGGGAGAGGAGTGGTTGGTTGAACATTTCAGTGATTAGGAGCTCATTGCCTCCCAGAAGCAAACCATTCCATTTTGGTATACTTCCACCAGAACAGTCTTCACGTTGAGACAAAATATGCCTCCCTATAACTTCTACCAATTGGTTCTAGTTCTGTGATATGAGGATGTGATTTGATTTCTCTCAGGCCAAGCAAAACAAGCCTTCACATAACAGCTTTTTTAAATACTTGAAGAGATATATCATGGCCCTACCCCAAGGTCTTCTCCAGACAAAACATCCCTAGTTTCTTGTAGCCCATGGTTTCCAGTCCTCTCACCTCCTGGTAGTCCTCATCTGGACAATGTTCTTCCTAAAATATGAGCCCAGAACAATGCACAATCCTCCAGCTTCCAGTGAGCTCTTCCCTTCTCGATATTTTTTATCTGGGTCACACATTTAACACTTAGCTAATTTATAGGGATTCGAGAAAGAGCAATAATAAGATGCCAAGGAAAGGCCGTACTCCAGATCAAGAACTTGCCTGGGCTAATTTCAGAATGGGAAGCATGACTATAAAATACTATATTGGTCCAAATAAAGGCCAAACTTTCCCTCTAAATTTTGTTTACACAAAAGCTGAGCATGGTCTCTGATGGTATCCTCTAACTGTACTGCAATTGTCCTTTTGGTCTACTTTCATAAATGAATTTTCACACTTTGGACAGATTTTGAGGAATGGACTTTGTATATTAAGAGATCAGTGTAAATTTGGGTGCTGTAATTTTTTTTAGTTACTTCTTAATCAAGAGCTATACTGGTGAAGCAGTTTCTTTGGCTATGCATATTTCTTATGAGGGTTTTGTTTTTGTATTAAATGTCAGTGGGGAGGGAGTAGGAGAGAGAAAATAAAGGCTTACTAGTTGAAAAATAAATTAATGGAATATATGTATGTATTTTTCAAAAAAGATCTACTTTCAAAGTGCTGCCTACATTCAGTGGCCTATATTCTGATCACTAGAGGGTACGGTTTTCTCACAGGCCTCCTCAATCACCCTTGGCAGCTATTGCCAAAGAGGGTTTCTTAAATGATGTTGTTGGTTCTTGTTTTTTTTTTAAATAGCAGCCTTGTGGTTATAGATTTCTCAAGGTGACTACTTTGAAGGCTGTACTCTTTTACCCACATTAGTTCTAGACTGCAGAAAAAAAAAAAAACCAGTGTTGTTGTTTTATGGCATTTATTTGGCTTATCCAGAAGCAAGGACTCTCTTTACTAGAATCCTTGGGAAAAAGAAGATACATTCCCTACATTAGGTTCAACCTCCTAGGGTCTCATTAAATGTAGGCTGGAAGTGCTTTATATGTGGAGAAAAAGTGAATATTATAGAAAGAGGAGGAGTTCAAAATCAGACACTGGATGGCTACTTATCCATAATCTCAATGAGAACAACCAGCTGAGTCCAACCAGTACTTGAATTAAAAAAGAAGCTCAGTCTGTGAGTTCTAGCCTATGAAACTTTATGCATACATTTCAAGCTTGCTTCTCAAGAAGCACTATTATATGCATGTCCAAATAGTAACTGCACATTCTCTACTCAGGACAATTCAAAATAACAAAGAGGATAGTTACATGTACAACTAGAAAAATTGAAGCAATTACTGCGACACTCTAATATGCCCATGGATCTGTCATGGGAGTGGGTACTCCCTTCCTGACTGTCCTGTGTGACTCTCATATGTGCTCCCATAAATTACCACATGGGCAAATGATTATGCTAATTCAGAGCAAAAACAATGTGCGTAATCATAGCCAATAAGACATATTGGTACTTGAGGAAAAGGAAAAATAAAAGCAACCTTCCAGAGTAACATGTTTATTATTTTTCTTGATTATTGCTGATGACTAATCGAACAACATATTCTCATTTAAATTTTGAAGTCTTAACTGGAGTTTATACAAGTAAAACAAAAACAAAACTGTTAAGATCAAATCAAATTGGCCCATGTTTTGTCAGAATCAAAATTGTTTGTTCCTAAATTCCTTCATGAAGTTGGTTCATGGTATCTAAAAGGCACCCTAGTCAATGGATCAAGATATAAAAAGATTTAGAAGCATCATCTGGTAAGCAGCCCATGCTTGTTGCTGCTGGATTTTTCCCCCTCCGCCCCAGCTCCAGGATCCCCTAGAGGGAAGAATTCTTCTCTTTCCTTCCAATCAGGGACTTTATTTTCAGCAACCTAAATCACATCCTTTCCTCTTCATCACTCATTTCCTCCTCCCCCCCAACCTGGCCTCTGCCACCCACCACCCCTCTCCCCCACCTCAGTGGATTTGGGGCTTATCATAAAAGTAGTAATCTGGAATACAATTATCATTGATAATAAAGAGAAACACAGTTTCTTTACTTATGCTCATGACATTGGAAAGCCACCACAAAACAATATGTTGTTCAGTGGTGGTGGTGGTGGTGGTGATGGGTCTATTATAATTATGTCATGGAAGAATAAAAACCTGCAAACTTCAACAAGTAAATGCATTTAGATTTTTAGGTCTTTTCCCATTTCTAGGCCATCAATCCAAACGACTCCCCTACTGAGATTGGAGCAGGTACAAACTCCTAATCCAAAGCGATGCTTGGAAATTTGACAACTCCATTCTAAAGAGGATGTACCCACTCCAGTTGGGAAACAGACCATGGTCCCCCCCCCCCCCCCAGTGCTTATAAGAAGATGAGTAAACATACCCTCTCTGCAACGAATCGCACAGATTGAACGCTGGTTCCATATAAATTATCATTGTACTGCCCGGCTTCTATAAACTTATGCTCTTGGATATCTTTTTCCATTTGCTCTCTTGAAATGACAAAATGATAGTCTCTACCATCCACCTCATAGTCACGCTTTGGCCTTGTGGTATCTGTGAATATAGATAAGAGGAGATTAAAATTTTTAGGAATTCTTCCTAGCCCTCCCGTCCCACTTGTCAATCTATACTTTAAGATTAGAGGTATTAACAGTGTGTAAAGTGGTGGTAGGGATTACTGTCTCCTTGCCATAAAGTGTTAGATTATATAATGAGGGTAATCAAATGAGATAACACATGTGATCTCATCTGAATGTTAGGAATAAGCAAATTAGATGACATGTAAGTCTCTTAGCAACTCTTAAAATGCTACATAAATACTAGATATTATTCATTCATCAGAGAACAAGGTAGATACCACCATAAGAAGGCAGAAGTGCACAGAACAAATACATTAGTAATGGTTTTCTATGATCACAGAAGAGGGGCTGAAGCACAGAATTACATCTTGCCATCTCATCCCACAAAAGGAAACCAACGCTACTTAAGGATAAAAAGAGAAATAGTACTTACGAGGTACACAGGATCCAAATTTGTCAGGAAATTCTGATATCAAGTCATCATTGATCCGGTCCTTCATAGGACCCAGAATAATAACTGGCCTAGTATAATTAACTGGGAAAAGGGAAAAGAAATGTGTTAATACAGAAACACACTTTCCATTTTCACCTCATCAGGAGTACAAAACCAGTCCTGTCCTCGAGATTCCTATGATGTATTAAAATGGATACACATACTGCCTAATATTTTTTTCCCTGGATAAAGAATCTGTCAGTCCCCTGAGTGGGGGTGTTGATGTTTAAGAGTGAATCTGTCTCTCTGTGCCCAAATATTGGAAGTTATTCACATGGATGAGCAACAGCTCTGTTTTATCAAAGAAAACAATTAAATATTCCGAGGAGTATCCCTTTCTTACCTCTGGTTGTGCTTATATGACATCAGCATAGTCACTAAATTTAGGCAGTTCAGTGGGAAAAAAATTAGTTAAATGAGTTATTGGGTCATTGTATGGGACAAAGACTTCGCAAAACAATTGTATATTTTTGTATTATCTTTTTTGACCCATTAGTCGAAAATCATTGCATGTGTTCTATCTGAATACATCAATTTCCGAATGTCAGAGGTATTCTCATCCAGGTGTGAGAATACTGAATTAGGAACCGGTAGGCATGGCTTGTAATTGAAGTTCTACCACTAATTCACTGTGTGATCTTGGACAAATCACCCTGTCCCTTAGTTTTCTTACTTGTGAAATAAGGACAATGAACTATGATGGCAACATGATAATTTTCATTAAATACATTATTCAGAAGAGTTATGACTTATTTTGCTTGGACCTCAAAAGTAGAATTAGTACCAATGGGGAGAGACTGATAGTAGGTAGATTTTAGCTCAGCATACAGAAGAGAGTCCTAATAACTAGATGTACCAGTAGGAAAATACAATGAGTTGCTTGACCAGGTAGCAAGATCTCTGACACTGAAAGCGTCCAAATGTCCAAGTGTAAACATTTGCTAGGGACATTGTAGATAGAATTCATGTCTTGTATAGGATTAGATGACCTCTAAGGTACCACACTTTTCATTCCAGATTGTGTTGTTCCCTTAATTTTCTAGGGGGAATGAATATTCTTAATGAATCAATTTTTTAAAAAATCAATAAAATTCAAAAGCAACAACATCTGAGACCTTCTACTATGCAGTGAATCAAGTTGTGATTCAGACTTCCTACTACAAATGAATCAATCAACATTTATTAAGTGCCTACTATGTGCCAGCATTGGCAAATAAAGATATGGCTGGCCAATGATCTTTCAATGTCATAGAATAATACCTTGAGTTCTATATTCTCTGTCTATACATAGATGACATGATTTCAGAAGCACAGAAAAGGCTCCCTCTTTTCAGAGAATTCATTCCCCCTACCTCATTTGCTGAATGATATTTTTCCACTACAAAAATTCTGAACTGTTATCGTTTACTTACGGCTTAGTGTAAATGAAGGTCTTTGCAAGTAGGAGAAAGCCTGACTTTTCATACCCTGGAAATCTTTGGCCAGAATCATTGACATTAGAAGACCACTTTGGTCTCCATGAGGGTGCCTTGGGTGAGGAAGGGGCATAGAACAGAGAGAACTTGGGCAGTATCTAAGATAAACTTTGCTGACTTAATATTTTTGCCTATGGATGATAGGATTTTACAGCTAGAAGGGCCTTTTGGGATCATCTAATTCAGTCCTTTCACATTACAAATGAAGTAATCCAGGTCTAGAGATGTGGAGTGATATGCCCAAAGTCACACAAGTAGTAAGTAGCATATCCAGGATTCAAATCCAAGCCCCCTGATTCAAAATCCAGGGTTTCCTTCCTGGATTTTACTTATCCCCCACCCTTCCCACTCCCCATACCTACAGGGTTGTTGTGAATATCAAATATGGTAATATTTGTAAAGTGTTTAGCACAGTGTCTGGCACATAGTAGGTGCTTAAAAATATTTTTTCCAGTACACCATTTTGCTCAGCCCTTTCCTCTACAAGGCGTGGCCAACAATCAAGTCAGTCTCAACCATCATTCCAAAGAGAGTTTTCCTGCAGAAAAGATTCAGGGGTAATTTTCAGTGATTCCAGAAGATTCATTGGAAGATTTCAGTTGAACACTAAAATAATCTTTTTTTTTTTTAAACATAGGTCTATGCTACCAACTGGCTTCTAGGGGATACCAATTTCAGAGACTCAGTCAAAAGCAGTCTTCCATGACAATGATTCTGGCCAAGAATTAGCTCAACGAATGTGTAAACTCCGACTGGTGTCCCACACCACGTAAAGACCTTTGTTGGTGTTTGCCACAAGTAAAGAGAATAATAATGACAATTTTTTAAAAAAGCACAATAACCACCAAGTTCTAATATGAATAATGATAATAATAGCTGATATTTTTATGATCACTTTGAAGTGTACAAAGCAGTTGACATACATGATTTCCTTCGAGCCTCATAACAAAATATTGAAAATATTACAATATTGAAAATATTGTGAGGGACCTGAGCAGACATCTAGTCCAATTGCTTTGATTTGCAGATGAGAAAACAAGCTCCCAGAGGGGGAGTGAATTGTCAAACGTCACACCGGGAATTAGTTGCAGAGCTAGCATTGAATACAGGTCCTTTGACTCCAAAGCTAGCATTCTTTTCACTAGATTAAATACCTATCACCATAGATTAAATATACTACCATTAATATCAAGTATTAGCATTTCTATTCTACAGAGGAGAAAACTGAGGCTCAGAAAGATTGTCTAGTGAGTAACAGAGGCAGGATTTGAACCCAGGTCTTTCTGACTCCACATCCAGCACTCTATCCACTCCACCAATCTGTCTTTCCACATAGGTCAGTTCATAAGTATGTCTGGTTGTTTCAGAGTAGACAATCCCGGAACATATTGTGGTAGTCAGCTAGATGGCATCGTGGATAAAATGCTGAAGTCAGGAAGACTGGAGTTCAAATCCAGCCTCAGACACTTACTAGCTATGTGACTCTGGTTAAGTCATTTTACCTCTATTTGTCTCAGCTTCCTCAACTGTAATACAGCCTAAAAATAGCATTTACTTCTCAGATTTGTTGTGAGGATGAAATGAGACAACATTTGTCAAGTATTTAGCATAGTGCCTAGCACATAGTAGGCACTATATTAATGTTACCACTACTACTACTGCTGCTGCTGCTACTACTACTACTACTACTATTGCTACTGCTGCTGCTGCTACTACTACTACTACTACTATATTGTCACTTGCGCTTGTCAAAACCAGAGAACAAAAAAAAAAAAACCAGGGGACTTACTTTCCTGCCTTGTGACAGGCTCATAAGAAAGAATGAGGTCCTCTTGTCCTCCTGAGAAAAGAAAGAAAAATTACAGGTGATTAGCAGCAGATCATACAACACAGCAACCTTCCCTCGTCCCTAAGTATAAGAAATAGAGTTCAAAGTTAATTTTCCTTTCAAATCTCTCTTTGAACCATTTCCAAAGTTCCATCTACTTTCCTATGGCTTATTTCCCTGACTAAATGACCTCATTAATCCTACCACTCAGTTGTACTCCCCACTAATAAGGTTACTTGTCCAGTCCATGGGCAGAAGGCCATTTTGGGGTTGCGTGTGGTCCAGCTGGGTCATGGTTCTGCCAGACCTCATTAGTAAATCTAGATCCAGTATCTCTACCCAATGAAAGAGGATCTTATTCAGAGCCCATCCCTGATTGAAAGGTTGTTGACATAAAGCTAGAAGCTTCTTGGATTGTTGACAAAGCTTGTTAGAGAGTGGCTCATGTTGAAAAGCTGTTTATTCATCACCCCTATCCACCTGCTAACTCCCACGATGTGAATAAAAAGACGATCACTTTAGAATAGGGTTATGATAGCAGATTTTGATAGGTGACAGATTTTTGGACTGAGATTTTTTGAAAAACAAAACAAAACAAAACAAAACAAACGTAACATCTCATATCTCTGATTTTCGAGTTACCTTATTTAATCACCTGAAGAAGCAGACTCAGAAGCAGTGGTATGGTCCAGGGACTCCCTAGGAATCCCTGAGATCCATTTGGTAGTCTCTATGAGTTCAAAACTATTTCCATAATAATATTGAGATTTTTAAATTTCAAATGTAATAAGTATTGATAGATATAACCCATATAAACAAAAGCTCTTTGGGAGAACCTCAATGAAATTTTAAGAGTATAAAGGAGTCCTGAGCTCCAAAAGTTTGAGAACTGCTGCCCTAGAGGAAAATGTTATTTAAAAAACAAACCAAATAACTCTTCCACCCCCATTTCGTTTATTGGAACAAAAGATCCTAGGAGTAGGTTGCCTAAGAAATCACAGATTTGGGGTTAGTGATGCCTTCTCCAGTAAGCTGCCATGGGCCAATTTTGGTGGAATGTTGTTGAATCTGACCAGCTGTTAAATTATTGATGACACTTACTGCCAAAGCCAAGCTTTGAAACCCACAAAAGGGAATCAAAGGTCATGCTGAGAAATCTCCTGAATCTTTGAATAGTAACTGGCAGCAGTTTTGTTCTGGTTCAGCATAGAGCACATGATTACAAATGGTCCTTGAATATTAAGTGGTTTTTTTTTTTTTAGTTAATTCATTTTTGAGATCATCTTAGGATCTAAATTTCCACTCAATGAATAGAACTGGCCACTCAGCCTCTCTAGGCCATGAGCCTCTGCCCTTATATCAACTCAGCTGAATCATTTGCATCTCTTTATGTGAAAAAAAGAGTTTATATAGACTACGCTCAATCCTCTTATTTGTAGGAGAGGATAAAACTAGGAAATGTTGCTATAAGGTAGGGAACATATATTTGTCAGAAACATTTGAAGGATAGGAAACTACATTATCTTATTATTAATACTATTAATAATAATAGTTAACATTTATATAGCACTAAAGCTTTACTAGGTGCTTTATGTATGCTATCTCATTTGAGCCTGAGAACAATCATGGGTGGTAGGTGCCATTGTTATCCTAATTTTACAGATGAGGAAACTAAGGCACATAGAGATTCAGTGACTTGCCTAGGGTCACACAGCTAGCAAGTTCCTGAGGCAGAATCTGGATTCAGGTCTTCCTGATTCCAAGTTCAGCACTCCATGTAATGCGCCAGCTAGCTGTCTTATATCTTGCTATTTTAAAAAAATGTATTTCAATGTAGTCTCTTAAAAGAGTAGAGTTGTAATTTGATATTACCAATATTGGGAATGGATAGGGAGGTATTTGTTGAAATAATATATTAAGTGCCCAGGATTTAAAAGTGGACACTATTTGTATTTTTATATCATTGTATTGCTTAGACATATATGCTATGTGATAAAATAATATAAAGTAAATCAAGTGAAGGGAAAACAATACTTCCTATACTCCCTCTCTTCATAAGACAAAGTCCTGCTGGACACTTTGCAAGAAAATGACGTGTTCATAAAATGTAACTATTTGATTAGTATGGAAAATACTTATTGTTGTTTAGTTGTTTTTCAGTTGTGTCCTATTCTTCATAACCCTATTTGGGGTTTTCTTGGCAAAGATCCTGAAGTGATTTGCCATTTCCTTCCCCATCTCATTTTACAGATGAAAAAACTGAGGCAAACAGGATTAAGTGATTTGCCCAAGGTAACAGAGTTAGTAAGTATCTGAGGCCCGATATAAACTCAGGAAGATGAGTCTTCTTGACTCCAGGCCTGGTGCCATATCCATTATATCCTGGTGCCATATCCACCATCTAGCCGCTCCTAAAATGCTTATTATGAGCTGTTAAAAGTTGTCACAGCTGCCAATCCAGGGGTGAGTTTTCTTGTTGCCATTGTTGGAAGACAGCACTAATACCCATCTAAATGGGGGACTATGTATAATAGGGTTATATTACATGGATGCTACATGACTTCAATTGTTTCAGATCATCAATAATTTTATCGACAAAATAATCAGTTGAGGGATGGTTTCTTTTTTCTTTTTCCTTTTTAAAAGCACTAGAATTTTATTTTTATTTTATTTTTTGTTTGGGCAATGGGGGTTAAGTGACTTGCCCAGGGTCACACAGATAGGAGGGATGGTTTCTTAAAGCATATTTTTTTTCCATAAAGGGAGGAATTTTGTACTATAGAAGACCCAGAAAGATTAGGACTTTTAGATTGATGAAGTCCTTTGATAACAACTTCAGGATGTAGGTACTGCAGAAATTGTTATCCTCATTTTACAGAAGAGGCTAGAAAAGATATAACACTTAATTGTCTACTGAGCTAATAAGTTTTAGAGGCTGGATTTGAACCTGGGCCTCTCTGACCTCCAAATCCAGTGTCTAGTGGGACACTGCAAGCCACAAATGCAAAAAATCCCCCCCAAACCCCTAAAGTGGGGAAGGGTACCTTCCAACTGCGGCTCCCAAATTTAAGTGTCCCCAAATATGCCAGTGTCCCTAGCTCACCAGTCTTTGTAATGGTTTAAGAGGCTACTTTAAAGACAAACCCAATGAGATTTTAAACAGCCCGTCTGTAATTACCTATAAATAATTCATGATTATAAAGCCCTAGGAGACCAACTTTTAGCATTTCTCTCCTAGGATGTGATACTCCTTTGTCTAGTTGTCATGTTTCAATTTATTTCTTGAACAGCCAAACACATATACCTATTTATAGCAGATAGAATCACTCTGCTAAGCGCAGCTCGTGTGGCTGGGCATCCTGAAAAATAGCCTCTGATTTATAAGGTGCCATGTCACACTTAGCATTCCTTCAAAGAAGCCATGGGGGGTGGGGTGGGGTATGATAGCTATGCATTCAGTTACTTGACCAATTCTCACTCTCAAGGTCAAGAATGGAAAGCCAGGAGAGGGAGCCAGTATGAGCAGTCAAGGGAGGAAGGGGAAGAGAAAAGAGTCTAGGCTACCTATCAGACTGTGGGCAAGGACAAGATGAGAAGGCAAAAAGCAGTAAGAGAAAGAGTAGAGGAGGTGAAGGTTGAGCCTGGGCTAAAGTCAAGGGCACAGTGTGGCTTTCCTCTGTACCTACTGACTAGTGGCTTCATTAGAAAAATGCTTTGAGGATTTAGAATTGTCTTGCTGTGGTTCCTTCTTTTATGGGAGCAAGCCATTTATGACAGCGCATGGAAGATGGCACTGAGAAAAATCCATCACCTTGTGGCTAAGCTGGTGATGAGCACGTCTACAATTAGGTAGGTTGTTTCTCAGAGAGCAGACACAGAGGCTACTATTGGTCTGCTATTGGAAGTCTTTCTAGGTTGCTAGGCCCCATAAGACTAAACCTGTACTCTGCAGGCACAGTCTTCAAGCTTTCAAGGTCATTTCAATGCTCCAATAAGGTATTGGGGGAGGACTTTAACAGAGAATAGAAAAATACAGAATTCTGGGTTATAATTCCAATTTAAAAATGAGAGGATTTTTCACATCTCTGAAGCCATAAATTTTTTTTTATCATTGTTCAATAATGCTGCAAAACGTGTTTAAAAAATACATACAGATCTGTGATCCATAAATATTGTTGTTTTCCCCCCAAACATAGGCTGTTTCGTCAGCATTATAAGACAATTGCCATCAATACTTTATTTGTTTATAGGAGAGGTGCAGGCATCTGGGGAAAAAAAAAACATATGAGTTAAAGTCCCTACCCATTTCATGGGTCTGTTTTAAGAGCCACAAGACTGAGAACAGAAGAACAACTCCAGGCTGTGTGAACACCTGCCCACACTTGTCAGAGCATTACTGGGACTCACTAAGGGTTGTTCTTTGCTAACAACTTCTTGAGCAACTCAGAATTAGTACAGAGGGAGACCTATGTGGCATCAGGCCATGGTATGCCAGCCCAGCAGGAAAAAAGCAGAATTGTTTCTATGCGTGGATACTTGAAAGCTAGAGGAGCGGAAAAAGGACAGTTTTTAAAAGCATTGTCTTGTAGCCAGAATAAGATGGGGATAAAATAGACTCTTGATGTTTCAAAATGGAGAATGGGGATGTCTACTTAAGCAGCAAGGAGTAGAAAATACAAGATGGTAGACTGTAATTTCACTCTCAAATTTAGAGGACTGTCCAAGTCCCTGATATTTCTATACTCTCTCCCTCCTCTGACTACTTGGATTCAAAAATATACATTTTCCCATCTGCTTTCTTTGATTTCTGGTAGCCTGTACCTTCACTTCACCCCTTCTCTGAGCACAGGGGGTTCCTTCAGACAGATAACTGGGAGGCCAGAGTCAAGTTTTTTTTTTTTTTTTTAAAATATGACTCATTCATTTTCCTCATGAGAATTCCTCTGCTTTAAAATACTCCATTTGGGGTTTCTTTTTGATTGACAAACACACTCAATAATGAGGTAGTCAGA